TGTTGTGATGAGGAGTTCTGTGCTGGAATAACGCTTGCTGGATTCTGTGGCTTTTTAAAAGGTGTTCTGTTTAAGGTGTTCCCTCCCTCCCTCTTTTCCCGCCCTTTTTTTGACCTAAGTTCATCTTAGGTCAAAAGAAAAAAATTCTCCCCCTAGTGGTAGAGTATGGATTAACCGGCTTTGCATTAGTTCCTATGGGAACTAATGCTTCAACGTACGAACGACGGCTCTACATAAGAACCAAAAACAGCTGGAATGGATTAATTAGTTTTCAGTGCATTCCTATGGGAAATTTTGCTTCTACTTACGAACATTTCAACAAACAAACATCTTCTGGTACGGATTAAGTTCGTAAACAGAGGTTCCAGTGTACAAGAAGGGCAACCAAACATCATGAACTCGTAAGTTATATATCAGGGCTGGGCAACTACCACTAGGCCTAAGCATCATAACCAGTAGGGAAGGACTAGAGAAGTAGGGGCCAAAAACACCTGGAGGACCACTTTTGTCCTACACATGTACTCGCATTAAAAAAGTGCCTGGAGGGTACTTTTTAAATTTAAAAATATATTGCAATCACTTGTAAGAAATTCTCATCATCAATTCTTTCTTTTAAAAACCCTCAGTCACTTGCTACTTTGTTACAATGAGTTTCTCAACGTGGAGCTTATAGGATCCTTGCTAATTCCAAGACCTGAACTGCTGCAACAGAACAAAATGGCTTACCGTTTGCTTTTGGGATCCCAAATGTTCTGTCACATCTATAGCACTAATGGGAGGCAGGAGGTTGTTTCTACTCAGTGGCATTGGGGAAGAGGATGACAGCTGCTCGCTAGCAGCAGAGCTGGGAAAACAGCAACAGCAATTACTGAACAAGGCCCATCTGCTCACAATACAAGCTTACACCAAAAAAACAAATGAGGGGCACGTGCAAGTTGATTCAGCTGTTGCATTCTGAACAGGAGGTTAAAGAGATTGTAGCTGAAATGGTGAGCTAAAAAGTGGATGAAACTTCACCAGAGATGAGCTGGAGGAATTTAATGTGCATTTCCCCCAAAAAAGTTTCAAAGACACTTAAAAACTTTATGCAACATGCAACACAATGACTGTTGAAAAGGAAAAGATGGCCTTGCTTTTAAAAAAGACTTCTATAAACATTCCTCCTCGATGCTGTGCTGGAAAATATTCCTTCAAAAGTCCTAAAACATTACAAAACTGGACTACTGAGTGGGAAGGGGAGTTATTTTGTTAATCATCAATGATATCACAGGCACCAACAGATCACCATGATAAATAATCACAGTTGATAGCACTTTGCATTGCAATAGGCATAGAGGAATATGATGCACGTTCCCTGCAAAAACACATTGTTGTTTGATTGCTTGGAATTGGAGAAAATGTTGCAACCTGTGGAAATTTATGTTTCAATTCTCCACAAGACTGAACAATCATTCTGCAAATTAAATTGTAACTGAAAGAGCTTCAGCTCTTACAAAAACATATGAAGAATATTACAGAAACACATAGTAATTTTGAAAGAGAGGCTCCAGTCTCTCTTTATAGGTAAAAACAAAATAAAAAAAAAAGACAAAAATGTGGTGGCACCTTAAAAACTGTTTTATTTTTAATGTGGGCTTTTGTGAACAAGTCCACTTCATCAGTCTGACTATAACGCTTGCACAGACTAACATGGCTACTCCTTCTACAACTCCAGTCTCTCTCCCTCCCTCAATCTTTTAAAGTCTTTTTTTGACTGCTTCCTTTACTTATGCCACCCTGGATTTTCAAATTTCATTCTGTAAAACTGTAATGTTTGCAGAGAGATTACAACAGAATGGCAAGTGAACCTACAGTCGTGTTCCCCTGATGACTTCATCCATAGGTTTTGGTGTCCCTGAGCGAGAAAGGCTGGGGTTGATAGGATGCAGGGTACGTGGTGGTGGGTTCCGTCTCCTAGCAGGCTGTGCAGAATATGACAGAGAAGATGTACTGAGCTCAAGTGGGCGATTTGGCCGAGCTCGGGTTGACAGGAGAGAACTGGAGCCTGGTCTCATGAGCAATTTGTCATCCACATCTCTGACACCAAGGGGGGGGGAATACAAGAGTAACATGCAGTATAAAATACAGCTAGAGATGCAGCTAAAATATGCTGTTCTACTTCATCAATAAGATAACATGTATTTATCCTTCATATTCATATTTCCACAGAAAATAAAGAGAACATGATAACCAGCACCTATTATGACCTAAACCTCAACATAATATAATTTAAAAATCCACCATTAAATCTTACGCATATTAGCACGTGCTGTTGATTACAGTGCCAATTTTGATAGCAATCACAAAAGGCTACTAAGAAACAAAAGGCTGCACCGTATGGAGCAAGTTAAAATTGGACAGGAGAAACAAAATGTCCAGTGCCCTGTTCTTATCATAGAGTAGCAGCAGCATTTGGATAATCCTATGGATTAATTACTATAATCCAATCTATATGGAGTTCAAAACTGTTCACTCATGTTAGCTCAGCAAGAGGCTTGCTTAATAACAAGAGACATCAGAGAGAACATAAGTGTGTCGTTCGACCAGATAGGCAAGGTATAAATGCAACCAACCAGCCAACCAACCAATCAACCAATCAATAAAAAGAATTGGGCTTCTCCCTTGTCCACTGAGATGAAATATCATCTGCAGCGAAGCCAAACAGAACTTTTGTCCTATGGATACTCCATACCTGTTGGATACTCCATTAATATTTTTCTGATTACAACTCTCTATAGTATTTAAAGAATGGTGGAAATATATTTAGTTTGTCAAACTACTGTTCTCTTCTGCTCTTTATCCTTGAACAAACCTGTTATGCTTTTATCTTTTCCTCTGTATTTTAAGCAGTGTTTTTATGGTTTAGGATAATGCCACTGATTAAATTTCTTTTGCTATCTTTAATAAAGTTGTTAATAATAATAATAATAATAATAATAATAATAATAATAATAATAATAATAATAATAATA